TTCTTAAAATATCCATAAATAAGATCCCAAAGCATCTCAAGAGGTATTGTTATTGTAAATGTTTGTTTTTAATTGTTAATCAAGCGCGCTCAATGTTTATAAGCTATAAGTATTAACAATGTTCGACTCATTCAACTCATTGGATTAAATTGAGACATTCGCCCAACAGGCCAAAATCAAAGCGTAATTCTTGTGTTTTAGCCAGCCGCCTTAAGCTCTAACTTTTCGCCTCGAGCTATTAGCGCCCTCTTTACGCCATTATTATATAAATAACTATTTTAGTTATACTTTATTATTATTACATAATAATAATAAAGTTCTGCAATTGATGGGAGTTGTCCCCAGCTATTATGGCGACCTTGGATTTGACCTTGCCTATGACATTTAAGGTCATTTGAAGATCAGGTCGATTTTTTAAATGGACCTCGATTTTTGACCCCCTAAATACAAACAGTGGAAAAATATAGGTGCGGTGATATGACTTGAAAACCAGTAGTCGTATGAGGAATCTACCGAGACACTGTTTTAATGATTTTTCCCCGAATATCCAATGGACAGCTTGGGTCTGATCTTAACCATGTGAACAGTGAAGTCAGTTTGTTTCAGGATTATACAGTTTAATGAATTATTAAGATCAAGTTCTAGAAATGGTCAAGGACATATTCAAACATAGAACTTTCTCTTTTATCCATTCCCACGGCCAAAAGGATAGGGTCCAGTTAAAAAAGGGTTGTCCTCCAAGTGACCTTGAGATGTATAACCAAGGTAAGATCCAAAGTCACTATTGGATATCGGGGGAAAAATTACCAAAATAATGTTCCGATGGTTTCCCTATACGACTTCTGGTTTTCAAGTTATCACGATACCTGAATTTGACCTGGACCATGACCTCCTAAGGTCAAGATTTAAGAATAATCAATACCATATTTGAACGTAAAATGTTCCCCTCTTTTCATTTACGACGTCAAAAAACGAATTGACCTGAAAATGACCTTGAATGTTCCTACCATTATTAGTTCACAAATTATCGTGGAGTTCCAAATCTTTTCAGACACCCTGAATAAGGATATTCTCTCCGATGAAAATTAAAATTCAACTTTTTATATGATCTCTAACGATTTTTAAATCACGTCACAACAAAAAAAGTTATTTTGTGATCCAGAGCTTAACGTTTCTTATATTCGTAATATTTCGACACTTTCAAATCCCAAAAGATTTCTTGGACATTTTTTTAGTCCTACTGTACTATAAGTTAATAGAATTATTCCAATCTGAAATAGTAACACCGCATCTATTGTTCCTTATACTAGAGGCCTATAATTATCCTCAAAGAGCAAGAAACCCTTTTTTCAAAATGTATAATTGTATACATTACTTGGAGTAACGACCTTTAATTAGACTTGCAGGGTATTCTTGTTCATTAACCTTTCATGAAGTGTACCTAGAATAGCAGGAGACCTCTATGCAAATTTTGTGTAATTATTACGCAAAATCGTTGATTGATTACGTAGAACTGCAGCGATCAATTACACAGAAAGTTGACATAGGTAGACAGATGGAAATTTTGGTTTATAAAGGGTGGTCAACCATAACGCACGATATTAATTGTCAATAAAGAAAGCTTACATAGAATTAACTTTTGGTCCATATTTTCAATGACGCGGAGGCATAATTGAGATTTAATGTGCCGAATTTTCTCATCCTTTAGCTCCTGTATTGTTCTTGGCTTATTGACGTACACTTTTCCTTTTAAATATATCCCAAGAAAAAAGTCCAACGGTGTCAAATCACATGATCTTGGCGGCCAATTGACATCGCCACGACGCGTGTTAACACGGAATTTGTCGCGCAAAAGAGCCATTGTTTCGTTGGCTGTGTGGCAAGTGGCACCGTCCTGTTGGAACCAAATACCGTACAGCTCCATATTCTCAATTGCTGCCCACAAAAAGTCCGTTATCATCTCGCGATAGCGAACAACACTATTCAAGGAAACTGCATGGCCGACCTCATTTTTGAAGAAGTACCTATGACCCGATGACGCCGCCAATCCTTAAACTGCACAATCACTCGTTGTAGATATATCAGCTTTTCAACAATCACTCGTGGATTCTCATTTGCCCAAATGCGACAATACTGCTTCTTAACGAATCCACTGTGGTGAAAGTGTGCCTCATCGCTGAAGATGATTTTCTTCGTAAAGGCATTTTTTACGTCAGTCTGTTCAACCAACCATACGGCGTATTGACGACGCTTGAAGTCGACCTCAGCTCTTGAGTCATTTGGACCTTGTAAGTATGTAAATTCAAGTCTTTATGCAAAATTCGCTTCAGTGATGTCCGTTCAATTGTTGAGCACGACGGCGAGTCGAGGTTGACGGCTCTTCTGCAACACTATTGCGAACAGTAGCAATGTTTTCAGCAGAACGAACTGCGTGAGCATGCACATTTGTTTTCACATCTCTCAGAGACCCGGTTTGCTGAAATTTGAGCACAATTCTCCCGATTGTGGACACATATTTGGCCGATTATGCTAACCAAAAAAATCACGAAGTGCACGAAACGCATTTTGATTTGAACGCCCATTTTCATAAATCGCTTCAACAATCTTAACGCGCTGCTCAATTGTGTAACCTGTTCATGGTTGAATGTGTTAAACACTGGAACAAAGAAATATCAAATAAAGTTGGGCAAAAAAACTTGACGTTAAGGTGTGACTCACAACTAACATGGTGCGTTATGGTTGGACCACCTTTTAGTTTAACTCATGGGAGCAATTTGCCTAAAACATCTTCATCATGGTGGCGCTTCCGGTTGTACCGTAAGCTCAAAAACTATTAGCTTTAGATACTTCTAAAAAGTGAACCTTTTTTGTTGTGGAAATACGAAAAAATAAGATTTTTCGGTCAGTTGTTGTATACAGGGTAGCACAAAAGAGTTATGATAAGTTATTTACCGAAATAGTGCTGTAAGTGGCGCCCTCTAGTTTGGCTATGAAAAATAACGGATTCTTGTTTCTCATACTAGAAAACCTCCCTATACCGACTTTTATGCCAAAATCTGAAATAATTCTCAAGCAATAAGGAAAAATAGATAATAAAATTGTAACTTTCACACCCTGTAAATCGCAAAATATCAACTTTTGGACTAAGGTATGTTTGGGTCAATTCACATATTTTATTCTGAAGTATGTCCAGTTTCGAGGTTTCACAACCTACCGCATACACCCTGTATAATAGATAGTACAGGTTTGCCAAGAAAATTGTATTAAAAAACCCAAAAGGTCAATTTTCAAACAACCTTTCCTATACTCTCATCGTATTAAGCTTTGAAAATGATTTTCCAAAAGTGCCCTTGATTTCGGCTGGTCGGACTCCAGCTCACAAAGAATTTGACCTGACACGAACACATCTCATCAATAGCGGCAGCTGCTGGGACAAAGCTAGGCTGTTTGTTGAGGGCTAAACATAACCTCCCCACTCTGAACAAGGCCCAGATAAGACCCAACCTCCTACCTACTGCTCACATGTTTGAGATGCTGCCGGCTCGACTACGTTACTCTACGCTGCTTAAAGGAATTCTGTACGACTGAGCGACGACTCTTCTCTCTCGTCTCAGGACACTTTCGCGCCGACTCTTCTCTCTCGTCTCAAGACACTTTCGCGCCGACGATTTATCTCCCTTCCGCCACTATGTCAACGGGCTTTGATCCTCAGAGCTCTCCTCCGTGATGCCGAGGCGCGATGTGCTTGCCAGACAGGCCAGCTTGACTTCGGCTTCCCATCAAAACCGTGTCGAACATCGTACATCCAGAACTGGCCGATACAAACGCTCCTTTATTCCTAGGGTATCGAGATTGTTCCACAAACCTTAGGCAGTTCAGAAATCTGATTAACGAAGCTTCTTTGAGCTCCTCATAGCAGCCACGGTGCCCTGGTATTTAAGCTTCTGCCTACGCGGCTATTACAGTATTAAGAAAGAAAAACTCGATAATTAATAGTATTGGAGATTATATTGGACTTTATATTGCTTGTATACTCCATGAGGCTCGTACCATAGCATAATCTCAGTTGGGCATGGAGTAAATTTGGTAAACTAATATAAATAAGTACAACTTTTATACGGATTTTGTGTCATGACATGTTGTTATTTCACCGTCAAAGGCATCAAAGTATGAAATAAGACAAAGTCGTATCTCGTAAATCTATAAAAACATATATTTGTTACAAATGATGTGGTACCAAAATTTATATAGTAAGTAGAAGTAGTAGTAGTAGTAGCCGCTTTTAATGGTTCCTTTATCTCAAAACTCAGAAATTTGTTAGTACGGTATCTGGAAATCTGTTTTTTTTGCGAGGTAGACAGCATTTGACAAAATTAACCTTATTTTCATTGCTTAATGCGTTACGGAATAGTACTCGTAAGTGGTAATATACTTTTGCTTAATAATTTTCAGTAGGATCTTGGATTAACATGCGATCTTTCTAAGAGAGTAATGAAGATGTGAGATAGCCAGTTAAGCATTTCTCGGTCACAACAGGTACCATCTTAAATGGGCAACGCGCAGTTAGAGTTAATTTAGATGTGGTGGTGGCGCTGGTACCAAAAAGGAGAAACGCGAAAGAGCTGATGAAATGCACCCAACTGCGTTGGATGTAGATTTCGCATGAATTAATATTTAACGTCAATCCTAAGCAGCTTTAATTATTTACTGTATTTCAATCTGATCTGCCATATAAATTTTATAAAGTATGTGCATTAATGATTTTCCAAGTTGCAGATGTTCTGACTTAATGTTACTCCTCGACTTTGTGATTCAGTCTCAAAATAATCAAGCTCATAAAACATGAGTGAGTATAGAGAGAGCAGACTTGGGTAGTATCCGAATATTCGGTGGTTTGAACCCTATTCAGAATATTTTTGTGTTTTTGATATTTGGTATTCGAATGAATACTTTTTTGGTCAGCACTAGTTTTGCATGTGGAAATAAAACAACACGGTAGGTAGTTTTAAATGACTTTATTGTTTTTCGAAGTATTCTCCACGAAGATGAATATACATCTGCATGCGATCGAACCAATTTTCGAAGCACTTATTCCACTCGTTTTCTGGCAGATCCAAAACGGCATTTTTGAATGCGTCAACTGCTTCTTCTGGTGACTGGAACCTTCGACCACGCAGTCTGTTTTTAATTTTCGGGAAAGTAAAGAAAACGTTAGGACTTAGATCGGGACTATATGGAGGATGGTCCAGTAATTCAACGTTTTCTTCCGTTAAATACTGCCTTGTTCTTTGGGCTATGTGCGAGCTTGCATTGTCTTGGTGGAGGATGATTCTTCTTTCGGGGCTGATTTTTCGAAGCTCGGTAATGACTTTTGGCAAACAGATGGTGGTATACCAATCCGCAGTAACAGTTCTTCACTCATCAAGAGGAATTGTTGCAATTTAACCCGCTTTTGACACAAATGTCGCGACCATCTTTTTCGAAACACTTCGAGAACGGATGACTTTTGTTGGCTTTTCTTCACCTTGGAACACCCAAACAGCCGACTGTCGTTTATTTTCTGGTTCATAACAGTAAATCCACGATTCATCATCACTAACAATGCTGTACACATTTTTTGAGTTTCTGGAATTGAAACGGTCAAGCGTTTTTTGACACCAATTAACCCTGGCTGCTTTCAGTCAACAGGTGGGGCATCCATCGAGAAACTATTTTTCTTACTCCTAATTCTTCATGTAAAATTTTTTGAATTGAGATCTTTGAGATCTTCAAGGACGCCTCAATCTCGCCATATGTCACATGTCTATCTTCAATGATGAGTTTGTGCACAGCATCGACGTTTTCCTGGGTGACTGCCGTTTTTGGTGCACCCACCCTGGGATCGACGCTAAGACCCACCCGTCCACGTTTGAATTCTCCATACCAACGGGAAATTGTCGACTGATATGGCGCTTCGTTGCCGAAAACAGACAGTAACTCAGCAAGGCATTCTTGTTGCGGTAATTGTCTCTGAAAGTTGTAATAAATTATGGCGCGAAAATGTTCTCGGTTGAGTTCCATTTTTCTAATGACTTGGTGACACTTAAAAATTCACTCTAGTGAGAACACTGCACGTATTGTTGTGAAACTTTTAATTTAAGTTTAGGAAAAAGTGAGGTTAAGATTCAGTACTGACGTTCGATTCGCGCGGTCTACTATGTTTCTATATGCAAAACTTAAAAGACATCCCTCGTATTTTGGATTCTAGATACGGCTTCTGAATCCCAATATTTGAATACCCACATTGTATTCAAATTCCGGTATTCGAATCCTGTTACTCAATATCCCGTGAGGCTCTACTCAACTTAAGCGTGTTAAAACGCGTTCGTAAAGTTATTTTGTTTGTGTGGACGGCTTCTGAATCCCCAATTCCGACAGATTGCTTAAGGAACGAGATTACATTAAGAATGCACTTGTGCTTGTGCAGTATTGCCTCTATATTTCATAATAAATTTTAATACCTGTTATAACTTGTATGGCATACCAGATAAAGTAGAGTATATATATAGGGTGTTTCAGAAAGACATGTCAATATTTCCAGGGTAGAAAGTATATCCAAAAATAACAAAAAAGGTTCTTATAGATAAGAGGAAATAGTAAGCAATAATCACACAGAGCTTTTCAGCCCAAACTAAACCAGGGACGGAGAGACTGGAGCCCCTGAACGCCTACTATGAAATATTTACTACGGCACTGGCCTTTCTGGAGAAAAGAAGTGCATTTTATGAAATGCCATTCAATTTTCCATAAACTTTATCACTTTAGGAATTTTTTCCAGATCGCTCGTTTAAGAAATGTTCAGGTTTGAATGCCTAACCCTAAAAATGTTTCCAATTGATTGGTTTTACAGTTTTACTACTACTTACTAGTTGTGATTTTAGACACACAGAAAGCGCTTACATGGGTAATACCAGAAGAAGTATACCATGAAAACTAGTGTCCCGCACAACGTTTAATGAATAATAACCGTCTACTCTACTGATTGAGGATAAGACACGCATATTTTTTCAATTAATGTTGTAATGAGGTGCCATAGCTTCCTTCACATGCAACATAGTGTCCCCAATATCAAGCTTCATGGCGTTTTCACAATAGGAGAGACTGAACTGGTTGATAAAAATATTTTACGTTGTTACTTCAAGTATTCAAACATAAATATGTCCAACACGTGCGATCTGACAAAAATTCCTGAAGAGACAAAAACCATGTGAAATTGAATTTTTTTTATAAAATGTACTTCTTTTTATAAATAGGCCAGCGGCGTAAAAAAATATTCAGTATTAGAGGTCTAGGTACCCCAGTTTCTACATCCCTGGTTAAGTTTTGACGAGGAAGCTCTGAGTGTGTTTATTGCTGTTAATGTGCTTGCTGAACGTCTAGAATCCTAACTCGGTATCTCGATCCACACCGTAGATATTTTTTTTCAAATTTCGTAAATTAAACTTCATTACCTTGTACCTCGGTAGAGGAGCATCTTTGGACTCATACTCATCGGTACTTTTTTTGTTATTTTTGGAAGTGCATTCTACCCTCAAAATATTAACACGTCTTTCTGAAACACCCTGTATAAAAAGGTAGGCTTATTATTTGTGTAGGTACATTATGTAAAATTCACATATTCTCTTATTAAGTTTTATTCTATTTTCTATAAATATCCACTAAAAATTGAAGAATGTTTTTTATTATACAATGAATTTGTTTAACGTCACTGTTATACGTGGATTAGAATTTTAAGTTTTATTTAATACGTTCGTGTTTTTTTTGTATATAGGTATTTTTATAACTTATGTACATAAATAATAATCTAGTTTAAAGTGCGCATATGTATTATTATTGGGAGCTTTCAAAAAGTATTCATATTTAAATGAAACCAGGTATTCAAAACAGCGGTATGCAAACATTTTTTTCTGTGTAATCGAACCCTGAGTGTCCAAATACAATTTAAAATACAATATTCGTATTCGAATACCGAATTTCAGTATTTCACCAAAATTAGAGAAAGTTGGTGATTGTCAGATTTTTCATCTATTTGCATTTTTATGATCGATTTGAGAATTTTCTGTGATCATAGATTATCGAAAAACCTCTTAACCATAAAATTGCGGGTTTAGATTCTTGGATTTATGCCTGGTTAAAGCTGTGAATTGTTGGTCGCTAACTCATCATAACTACGTCCTCTCATACAGAAAACCTCGTTCTTGCAAGGACGGTTAGTAGCCACAGCCTAGTATGATTCATCCCGCTTGCGTATGCATGTGTCACAAAGACAAAAAAACGATAAACCGATCCATACGAGAAAAAAACTCGAACAACCCTCTTTGATACGACAGTTTCCGGTTTGGGTCCAGCACATCGGTCTGACTGCCACATCTTCTCACGCTTCGAAATAAATGGCCCACAGTGTCCCAGCATAATGAGGATCGTTATAATAGATGTTTTTTCTTCTTTTAATTATATGCAAGGTAGAGATGGGCACACAGCGAAAAAAATCGATATCAGAATGATCGATATTTCATAAAATAAAATCGGGAATGATACTATTTTCATCTGTATTGCCAATAATACTCAGCTAAGTCTAGGGCTGGTCTCTACAAAGCCCAGATAGGAGCTAGCCTCGAGTACTGCTCACATACTTGGGCTGCTGCCGCCCCGACTACATTATCTATGCTTCGATTACTCTTTTGTAGCGGACAGTCTCGGGACCTTTTCGCACCGACGGGCCGTCGGTCATCTGATTTTCTTCAACTGCTATGTTAACGGGCTTTGCTGCTCGGAGCTCTCTTCCATGATGTCGCCGCGCGATCAGCCTGCCAAACAGACCCGCCTGATCGGCCTCACATGCTAACCATGTCGAACTTCCATCTAGAACTGGCCGATACGACCGCTCCTTTGTCCCAGTTTGCCTGAGAGGAGGCTTTTCCAGTTCTACTAACCTTAGGTAGTTCAACAATCGAATTAACAAGATGCGGAAGCCCTTAAGCATAGTGGGTCTCCTGAGAGGGAAATGTCATCTAAATCGACACATGAGAATCTTTTGTAGTCATTGGGAGTGACAGTCATTTTCCAACTGAGGTCTGCTAATAGGCCTATTACCTCTAGGGATGCCGGATTCGAGATGTGAACCAATATGGGTAGGCCTCTGCATTCTCTGAGCAAATTTGAAATTAAGGAAGTCTCAACATAAACATTTCTGTCTTAAGGAAGCTATTTGACAATTCTTGACTCCCAAATAATGCATTCTCATACCAAAGTGAACTCGTGAACTGTGAATTACATAGTAAGGGCTTCTTATTTTTCATACCTCTCAGCCCCCAACCCGACTCTCGAATCCTGGGAAATTTTATCATGAGACGATCTGTCAGATTTGACATTTGAGTGGGCATGTGCCAAGACGATACATTGGGGGTTAGGTGTCGGCCATTAAGTAGTCCTAGCTTCAAATGAAATGGAATCCGAAACCAATAACTTGAAAAAAAGTTATCAATTATTTCTGTTTAGATACGCAATCATCGTATAAATGAATACCGATGTATTGATACTTTTCTGAGTTTTGTAGAGCTTAATTTTGGCCAGCAACTGTAAAGATCAATTTATTTAACCTTGTGTGGTTAATTACTGGTTATAACCGATATTTTTTTTCAGCAGAGAAAAGTTTTTGTGAGTACTGCTTACCGTCATGATTCAGTTTTCTATTTTGCGGACTGCCCCTCGTTTGACGCAACCTCTAGTTCGTCCCCTATTCAACCTACAAACCCAAAACTATCCAAACGTACGTCAAAATCGAACATAACGAAAAACCACAAAACAACAAAGAAGGCTCAATGTGCTGTGAAAATGTCGAAGGAAAAAGTAGCGTCACGTCAACTAAAGCATATAGTAGTTAAAGCTGGACATTATCAAACCTTAAATTAACTGATAGGGGTTTTAAACTTCAAAATAGTAGCCTAATTTGGATGTAGGTACTTTTCGATAGATGACACACATATTTATGAAATCTTAGAGTCGACGCTCATTGTTGATGGTCAATACGATCATGTCTCTTACTATATTTATACAAAGTGCTTAAGTCAAAAAGCATGCAAGTGCTCTTATCAGGATTAATCTTCAACATGTATCTCTTACAAAAATCAGTTCCATTGGCAAGATCGGACCTAATTAACTTTATATGACACTCCATCCAGATGGGAGATGGCAAAATGAAACGAAAGTTGCTTATCATCTGTGTAAGTTTGTATAGCACAATGTTCCACACATGAATGTAAATCAAAAGTATATATTAAATACAGCAAAGGACCTAAAACAGACCCCTGAGGTACACCTAAAGAAACAACCACCAAAGATAACACATTTGTCTTTACCTTTTGTTTACTGTTTATCTACTATTCCGTGTCAGCGTCAGCGCTCTGCTATTGTCAGGCTATGTTGTTTTCTTAAATTGTAGGAAATTTCAGGCTGTATAATAGTTGATGTCAATCAAAAGTATGAACAATTTGATGCAAATATATATTTGTAACATAACCTCAGAATAGAGCGCTGACACGTAAGAGTAGAAAACTATGCAAATCAACGAGGCCATAAAGGCGTCCTATAATTGTAGAAAAGACTGACGATACGGTCCTTAGACGACATCTCATAAGAATGTTTTTTTAAGATTTTGGAATATCTGGATCTATGTTTCTTGCCCATCTCTACACAAAGTGCTTGGGCGTAGTCTATAATACCTCTTTTATTCTCTTTTTAATTAGATGCAAGCAAGGGCATGCATACGTTAACTAAGAGACAGTAGGTAAGCCTTTCAGGGTAGACAAAAAGCATTTTTTACCTTTAAATAAATAGTTCATATTCGGTATTTGTTCCCTATGCGACGTACCTACACTTCGCTTTGTTATAACGAATGGCAAAAAAAGTTGGGATGCAGCGTGCTTTAATCATTTTTTGTGAGGGTGACTATTTACGTGTAAAGTGGTTAATGTATATGTTGCTCCGGATTTTATTACACCCTTAATGGGTTCAGTTTTGAATTTTTTACCAGGGAACAATCTGAATAAAACAGTATTAGAGTAAAAACAAATTAAAATATTGGTAAACTGCGATCACAGATTCTAAAATATAGGCTTATCGGAACTGTTACAAAAAACAGTAAGCTCAATCATGTTGTCTCTGCACTTCCCACGCAACGTCCTCGTCAGCTCATACACTGAGAAAACGTGGTAACTTAAACAGTTTTTCTGGAAAATTGTCATTACCCGTAATAAAATTTATAATTACTCTACGTAACTAAATTAATCGGTTTAATTAAACTGAATTTTCTGGAACCAGTTTAATTGAAAGTAACATACTAGTACAAAAATTTGCTTGAATATAGCAAGCCATGTACCTGTTTAATCAGTTTAGGTAAGTTAATTAATGTAGAAAAGTTACATCCAAACCAATTAAACAACCAGTAAAATCAGTTAAACTGTTTATTTGGATCTCTACGCGGCAGTACTCGGCCCAGATACAGTGCCGCTAACGTGTTTCATTTTTGACTTTCTCGAGGAGCTTTATATCTGAATGATGCCGTTGTTGGTGTAATAGCTGTTTGTTGAAGTGATATCGAATTTATTTATATGTGTATATGCTTTGAATACAGGTGAGTTTAATTATTAGAAGTAAAATACAATTTTCGTACACATAATTAAGTGGCCTTATACAGCTTCAGGTATCACTTTCCCTACTTTCTGAATTTAGAACAAAGAATCGCTTCTACTGAATGGTGATATAGTGTGAGGCGTGTAAGTCAAGTGATGACATTGGCAACGTAGCGTTCGATCTGGCAACACTGGAGGCGCTGAGCCTGGAGGGTCGCTAGAGTCATTTGGTTATCCGTAACGAAATCTAAATAAGATAATTCATTACAACTAGGAAAATACTTTTACCTAAACTAAATAAATAATTTTATAAACACAATTGAATTGTATTACTTGAAACAAATAGACTTATTTTATTAGTTCATTAATTTTAAATAATTGGTGAACTCAATCCAAGTAACCGGTTTAATAAATTTAATTAAACGATTGCGTTTTTGTTTAATTGAACGCATTTTATAGAAGCAAATGTTTTGGAAATAAGAGTCTAATTAAGATAATAATTGAACTTGTTAGCTCTCGCATAGTTAATTAAATTGCTTAATTGGCCTACTTAAAATTTTGATATGGCTAATTAATATTTTCTCGGTGCAGGTATCAAATATTGTTGACGAACAGTTTTACAACTAAGCTCCAAAGAAATGAGAATGCATGGCTCTGATGATCTCCACCTTTATTTTTCTTCATTTCTTAAAAACCTCTTTTGTTTTTTGCGACCACTTTTGAATTTTCATTCCGCTTGTTTCAAGTTAATGAGGTAGTCCTTTTATAAATCAATTCATTACGCACATTATAAATTCGTGTATAAAAAGTTCCTATGTTCTCGTAATATGGAAAACAACATTAGGTGTACCTATTCCCAAAAAGAATAATCCTACAGGATTTCCTGACTTGAGAATCATCGGTACATTACCTTCTTTTGCTAAGGTTTTCGAAAAGTTCCAATACTCGCAAATTTCGAACCATTTTACGAAAAACCTTAACGGATCTATCTGCCTTTTTGTATGTCACCACCTTATTTCATAGCATAACAGCATAGCATAACTTATGCTGATAGACCCTGTGAAATCAATATCTTTTATAATGATCCCATACTTCAAATACCGTAAACGCGCATATTTTGGATGTTTTTTTTTCAGTTTTTTAGCAAAATGCTACAGGCACAGTGATTGGTATCTAATGACACAGTTATTGCTTTGAGTAAAGTCAGTCATTGGCATACCAAAGTAAGCACAGAGCTAGGTGTCACTCGGTTTGTTGCAAGCTAAAATAAGTCAAACTACATTAATATGACATTTTTTATTGCCGAAGCAATAGAATATAGGAAAAAAGAATCAACAACAATTTTCTTTCTCTCTTGCATTCAAAGGTTTGAACATGCTTTGCATATAAACTGGTCTATCTTTGTTGAACTTTCATGTTTCATAGTACATTTTTCATGATAGGTCCTTGTACACAAGTAACATTTGACATCTTTGTTTACTTCGCCTATATTCATCACGCATATAAAGCAGAGCCCATTGGTACATATGACATTCTGCTTAAAATTACATGAATCATCTCGCTCATTTTTGAAAAGCCGTTTTACATGGCTTTCCTTTGAGTTTTCAGGTGTAATGGATACATTAGACACTATTTTAATTTTGGGGTGTTGGACCTCCGAAGTTGTTCTTGTTACCCTTTTGACAATTGTAACTTGTTTTGCTGACGCTTGTTTCTTTTTCTCCAAAAGTTTATTTTTTCTCTCCTCTCGTTTTTTCCATCTCCTCTTTTTCTCTAATTTTTGCTTCTTATTTTTTTTCCCAACCAGAAGAAGTTATCACACAAGGACCTTTTTGGCCGGGTTTCTTCTTCCCTGTCCTCTCTGGTGTCTTTGGCCAGTGTAAATAACCCGTGAATGTCGTAATTTCGGATTGTTTGTCGTGGAGACGTGGAATGCCTTGCGCCTTTTCTGCTTTATCTTCAAATATAAGTAAGTAGCTGCACTAATATCAAAGTCATTTTCTGTTACTCCATCAAAACTAAAGTTAACATCTTCTACCAAATACTGCTTGTTTTCTATAGTAATGTCAGAAGTATCAACACGGGAAACTGGCTGGAAGGCTATGTATATTGTGACGTATTTCATCTGCAGCGTTATTCCCAAATCTGCTGAGATGTCCAGATTCCAGAGAGTTAATGTCCTCGATTCCAACAACGTTCTGAAATCTATTGTATGACTACCCTTTGGATGTTCTTTATGGGTTTATACATCTATTTTTTCTTTTGTGTGAGTGCCCAAGCATTTGTCATAGTTGATTGAACCAGCACTCCTCGGAAATAGCCCACAGGTGCGAAATCCATTTTTCAGTTCTTGTGGCCAAATTTCACTACCTTGATATGTGAGGTCAGTTGTGTGTATATCTAAAATAGTACTACATGAAGTGGTATTTTGTTTTTCAATAAAAATTGATGGAAGGCGTTAGCTATATAATCATGAAAGAGTTGTGACGTCATCTAGCGATTGCCACTCTTGCCAATAGACCATGACTTAGGGCGAGATGAATGCATTTCCTCTGGTATTCTTTTGTATGGATATACAACCATTGGAGGTACCACAGACGCACTTGCAGAGAAAATGAACATTACTGTTAATGTAGCTTTACCTTGTCCCCTTTGAATTTCATACAGATGTTTTGCTCCTCGACGAGTTAATACTTTTTTGTTTGCCGGACATAGCTGAACATTGGTTTCATCAGCATTGAATATCCTACTCGGATTCTCCAGCAGGAGGTCAAAATGTTTTCTTTCATGTAAGTATCTACCTCAGAAAACCACTTCCTAATATAGTTTTCGGATACGTTGGCACTGGCCGCTGTGACACCTTCTGCTGTTCTGATACTGATTTCTGGGTGTCTTCTTACAAATGCCTGGTACCATCCGTTTTGCGGAAGATTGCCCTTGAAAGGGTCTGATCTTGGAAACTTATCCAAAAATCCTTTAACAAACCTTGTTATGTCGTCTTTTCTTCTTGGGAAACCTTTTCGATTAGATTCAACAATCCATTTGATCAGTAAATTTTGACGCCTTTGTGGATCTGTTACTCATACTAAATTGCAGGGTTGAACTGTAACGGTTTCACCGTCCGATCGTATTTATTAAATCACTTCTCGATTATCATTTCATTAATCCCATCTCTAGCTTTTTTGCTTGGAAAATTTTCCGCTTGGAGCGCTTGATGCGGAGTTCCTGATCTGCGATCTTCCTCGCGCTTCTTTTTCACTTGAGCCGCCGATCGAACAACGGCTAGAAATTTCTTCTCAGTAGCACAAGGTTATATAGCACCATGTGCTAGAATTTTCTAGAATGTGTGTCCGTATAGGACAAAAATGATTGGGGCCGCCCCCTTTCTCTTTCCCTTTCACTTTGCCTAGCCTTGGCCAATATTTTCACCCATGCATGTACCTTGGCAGCGCCATCGCCTTTAACTTCGCCTACAACTGGTTGTGAAGCCACTATATGGAGGTCACCCCTCATAACTGGGACCTCCCCTTCAAGCCCCTGGCCATCCTGGCTTCAGTCGAGTAAAAATGGACCAGCGAAAGATAAGTCGATAGCGTTATAGCAGCGCCAAAGATGTAAAACTTATTTTGTTATTTTTGTAAAATTGTAATGTAATGAAAATGCCTTTTTTTTTGTTAAATAAAATCTGTTAAATTTTTGTGTTCTGTTTGTTCTTCTATCCTCTAGCCATGCCATGGTCGACATATAGCTACACGCCTGTAGATGTTTTCATGCCACTGACTGAGCTACCGGAAGCTAATGGTAACCCCCTTTCTGTGATTGTGCAGTAAAGTTGGAATCTTCATTGCATTCCATCTTTTCTGGACTTTTTGCGGAAAGGAAGCGTTACATAAATTGGCACCCGCAACGTGAGGCTTCGATAGGTGTTTGGCTTTGTCGACAAGTGGTTTGCTAGTGGAAGATTGGCAGACAGAACATAGTTTTCAAAATTCTTTACAATCTTTGGCAGCATTTCTATTTTTAATTGCTTTTGGTACTCAAATTTCTAATTCCTTAATCATCCTTACTTTTTGCTTAATGTTTAAAATTTTTATCAAAAGATTAAAATTTTTCCACCTGTTTATTTCATAGGCATACTATTAACTTTTAAATTGTCTTGTTTAGTAGTCAGCGAGATCATTGCCAGAATTTTTTTTTCTCACATACTACTATAGTTTTTATTTACTGCTGGGGACAGTTATAACTTTTTTCTCATTGTACTTTTGAGATTGATGATATTTTGACAATTTTTTGTTGTTGAATATTGATAGTCTGGGGACTTTAGGTTTCCCAGCATTTTTGTCGAATATCATCAAACTTTTGATTGAGGTTGTGACTATTGTTGTTGATAGTTTACATATTCTTATATGCTTTTCATTTTTGTTCACTAACCTCTTAGTTTTTGAAAGTATTTCTTCATGTGCAGTTTTTTGATTTCTTGAGACTTTTCATGTATGCATATATAGCCTAATTGTTGGATCTCTGGTGTACTGATATAGCTCTCATGATGTTTGGTACGTAGGAAATTTACTTTCAAAATTATTTTTGCCTTCCCCAAATGTATTTTTTGAATTTTTGACTGTACTTGAACTTTTGATCATTTGTTTTCATTCTGATGGCAATAATCTACTGACTAGAGTTATCTGGAGTAAATCATTTTGCGATTTATCCATTTTTCTGAATTGTATGAAATTGATATTCATATTTTTTCGTATATTTTGGCGGTTTACTTTTTTTCAAGTATTGACACTTGGACATAGTACCTTGATACTTACCTTTCTTTTGTTTTCAAGAAACAAATGATGTTTTTCTTGACTATATTTTTTGCTACTTTTCAATGGGGGGGTGACTCCTAAATCATTTTTACCTATACAAAGACACACATACTCATTTATGATAATTAAATTTCAACTTGTTGTTGAAATAGTATACGTTCCTAAATAACTATTGTAGTAATTTTGTCTCTTGTTTGGAGCATAAGTTTTCATAATTTTAATGTTTTATAGTTTTATCTGGCATATTCTTTGGGGGAAATTAGAACATTAGTGTCTGATTTTCCATTGGATTAACAGGACTTGAACGTCTCTGTACCTTTTTAATGTATGTCAGATATAAAATAATTTCTTTTAAGATTCGGCTGCTCATGTTTTTGTATTGAAACTTTTTGTTTGTATTGTTAGTTTTTTATAGTGTTTTGGATCCTTGTCATTTATTGATGTATTCACGTTTTTAACTTTATTTTTTTTTAAATATAATAATTACAAAAATACTCATCTTCCCGCTCAATCGAAGGGGGCGAGTTTTTGGATCTGTACATTGGAGCGAGTAGGTTTTCCTATATTTATTTCCAAGTACAGATGCGAACGGAGAAGAATTTCCTTTGATAATGAATAAACTTATTTGCTGTAAGAGGCAGCTGAATGTTTACTTTGGACATTTAACATCGTTGATCCTTCAACCTTTTGAAATATTACAATCAGTCCAATACTCATATTTCCGCTCAATCGAAGGGGGCGAGTTTTTCGATCTGTACATTGGGGCGAGTAGGTTTTCCTATATTTATTTCCTAGTACAGATGCGAACGGATAAGAATTTCCTTTGATAATTGCTAAGCTAATTTACTGTAAAAGGCAGTTGAATGTTTACTTTGGACATTTGTCATCGTTGTTCTTTCAACCTTTTGAACCATTACGTCAGTCCACCATGTACAAAATTTACAAGTAATCATTATTTTTCTGATTCCAATTTAATGTGTATACTTCATCTTTTGAATATTTCATTTTTCTGAGTGTACTCAAAATTTGAATTGCATTCCCGATCTAAATCATGTGACAAATACTGTGTATAATATTTTATAATGTTTTTATGCGTATATTTTCTGAATTTCCTTTACATACTTACGTACTTCTATTTTTGAAGTCTATTACTTTTGAAGTTTTTGATAGTATCCTCTTTTTGAATTCATTATAACTTTCTTCGAGAGCACAGACTTACATTGATTTTTGGTTCAAACTTTTGATGTTTGTTTACATATTTTTGAGTGGTTTTGAACTTTGACAGTATTTTGTAGTCTGGATAGTTACATAGATTCGTTGCGATGTATGCCTTTGAGGGTCTTGTACTATCCACAGTTTCTTTAATTGAAAGTGTTTTCTTCATATGCATTTTATTTTCTTCTTGAGACTTGTCATATATGCTTTCCGCCTAGTTGCAAATCTGTGCGTATTGATAAACTCTTGAAACCTCTGGCGTATAAGTAATACTCACTTTTGATATAGTTATTTATGTCTCGGTTCAATTCAATCAGTTCAATTTGATTTGAAGTAATTGTCAATTCCTTCTTGAGATTTTTCATATATGCTTTCAGCCTTTGTGCACATTTGTGCGTATTGCTAAGTCTTGAGCTTGGTTGCGACATTGCTTTCATGTTTCGCTATAGATTTTGAAATATCTGGTGATTTTGCTTTTGCATTATTGCATTTGTTTTGATAGTCTGCTCTCATAATCTTTTTTCCGGCTTCTTATTTCTTTCAATTTCTGTCTTGACTTGAAGTAATCGCCAATTCTTATAGATTCAGTATAGTAATTCTCTTTTCATACTTTACACTGGTAAATTATTATAGTTTTTCTAATCTTGTAATATTTCATATTTGAACTTAACTTTCATTTTACAATGTTATGGTTATTCTCAGTGTAGACTTTGAAGTGCGCTGATGATATCAGTGATCTACATGAGAATATTCCATAGACTATAGACATTCTTGTCTAGGGCTTTGGAATGCACCTATGGTGACCCTAGAAAGTTGTCTTTCTCTCATATTTTTGCTTTAAATCAAAATTCGAATTCTTACCTATCATATTTATTTCTATTTCTTGTTCACTAGATTTTTTTTATAACTCCAACTTTGCACCTACATATATCGTAGTCTTTTGCATACAATTTTTGCTTGCGGCATTACTCTCATGTATCATGATTTAATAAAATATCTTGTGATTTTCGTTTCGCTATTTTGCATTTTACATATGCTCACTTCGTTTCTCATTTATTACTCATGAAACTTTTAATATTTTGCTTACTTTTAAATTTTTTTGAGAACCCTTTATAAAATCATGCTCATATAGCTTTAATATTTCCTTTCACTTTATGATTTTAACACTATTAGATTTACAGTTGCACTTGTGTTGCACTTAGTTTTTTTTTGGAAATTTATTTTGCTCTTTTCTATATTGAACTTCAGAATTTTTTTTTGGTCTGGTTCTTATGTTGTCACATGACCCGAAAATTTTGATTGAACTTACTCTTGAATTTTAGTTCATTGATTGAACTTTAGCTATATTTTGACTTTGAAAATCTTACTTCAATATTTCATGAATGTCTCTTATATACTTTAATTCTCTGAAAATATTTTGAATTATTTTGTAGTCTTACAGACTGCTGGCGCCCGACAATTTTTTTGTGGAATCAGAACTGCACTTAGTTAACATCTTTTTTGATTAAAATACCTTCGTGATCAAGTTTTCATTGGTTTAGTACTTGTAAATTGTTTTGTTATATAACTGGAATTCTTAATAGAATTTGTTAATTTCTTTTGATTTTCATATTTTGAAAATAGTAATGCACAGTTTTTTTATATTGGATATTGGTTTAAAATATCAGTGTAGATCATAATCTTTTTGGGTTTGGAGTATTGCGAGATAATCTGGCAATTGTTTTGAGAAAGATTATTATTTTTTTAGTACCTCTTATGGTTTAGGTACTTACTTAGTTTTGAAGTTTTTAGTAGTCAGTCGTGCATTTTGGATGCCATTGTGATTCGTGCTTGGACTACTGCTGAAACTTTTGGTTTATTATTTTTCTCGTCTTAGGTATGACGATGTTTTATGTTTTGGGTTTTTCATCATATGATGATAGTTTTTTTTAAGTGCAACTTCACTGTACTTTTCAGCGAGTTGGTGCTATAACCATCCCTCTTGTTTGGTAGACTTGAGGCTATCCCTTTTTCTTCCAATTCTCTTCTAACATTTTTGTTTCTACCTTACTTTTACTACTTGTTATCTGGTCGAATGGTTGTACATTTGCCCTTCCGTGATAACTTTCAATTTCCTAGTAAAAAAAAAAAATTCTTAAATGCTTCTTCGATTTTTTTTTTTTTTTTGGTTAAGTTGGGGCGAGTGTAACGGTTTCACCGTCCGATCGTATTTATTAAATCACTTCTCGATTATCATTTCATTAATCCCTTCTCTAGCTTTTTTGCTTGGAAAATTTTCCGCTTGGAGCGCTTGATGCGGAGTTCCTGATCTGCGATCTTCCTCGCGCTTCTTTTTCACTTGAGCCGCCGATCGAACAACGGCTAGAAATTTCTTCTCAGTAGCACAAGGTTATATAGCACCATGTGCTAGAATTTTCTAGAATGTGTGTCCGTATAGGACAAAAATGATTGGGGCCACCCCCTTTCTCTTTCCCTTTCACTTTGCCTAGCCTTGGCCAATATTTTCACCCATGCATGTACCTTGGCAGCGCCATCGCCTTTAACTTCGCCTACAACTGGTTGTGAAGCCACTATATGGAGGTCACCCCTCATAACTGGGACCTCCCCTTCAAGCCCCTGGCCATCCTGGCTTCAGTCGAGTAAAAATGGACCAGCGAAAGATAAGTCGATAGCGTTATAGCAGCGCCAAAGATGTAAAACTTATTTTGTTATTTTTGTAAAATTGTAATGTAATGAAAATGCCTTTTTTTTTTGTTAAATAAAATCTGTTAAATTTTTGTGTTCTGTTTGTTCTTCTATCCTCTAGCCATGCCATGGTCGACATATAGCTACACGCCTGTAGATGTTTTCATGCCACTGACTGAGCTACCGGAAGCTAATGGTAACCCCCTTTCTGTGATTGTGCAGAAAAGTTGGAATCTTCATTGCATTCCATCTTTTCTGGACTTTTTGCGGAAAGGAAGCGTTACAGAACGAGGAACGCCAAAGATTCCAGAAGCCTTTTTCTGTGTAAATTTTTCACTCTTTGTAGCAGCTACTGCTTTAGCAATAGTCTCCTCATCGAATTTTTTTTTCATACTTCTTTCCAGGAACCGGCTTCGGCATTGTTCTGTAACCAATAGAAATAATGTATATCGTAGATAGTAGAGGTGGCTTTTTAAAAGGAAGGGAGTTTTCTTAGACCAAACGGCTTTTAGGACACTCTACCATATACGTATTAGTACAAAACATTTTTGAGAAGGCATCCAGTCAACAACACTGAAACAGTAGAGGACAGCACAGCAGACAGTGTCAATGTATCGGAACAATATACCAGAAAATAGTTTTCCAAATAGAAGCAGATATTTAGAAGAGAGGAGAGCATTTGTTTGACGTGCTGGAAGATCCAAATAAGATACCCAATACTGCCGTAATCAATTTTCAACATCACAAATCGTGCAACTTGCAAATGAGGCTGCCTTAAAAACCTATCACAGGCTACTGGAAGCTATTTCTTTTGAACTGAGCAAATTCGAATCCCACAGCTTCTGGGTGTTTTTGTTCTAATTTTTTTATTGGTCGAACGGGTAGGTACCTACCTTGGATCTAAATAGCAGTTAGAATGTGTGCAACGACATTTATTTCCCCATAAAACAGTATGTGTATCGTTCTTCCATTTCTCTAAGTCTAACCTACAGTAATAGCTAACGGAACCCACCAGCACTTGGACACAGCGTTCGTGATAGATTGAATATGAAAAAATGGAACAACACGTTTTATGGCATAAGCCCAATTCCTCTTACCTATAACGAAGAAGTGCCAATGACTAAAATGCTAAAAATACATTGACTCGTCATTGACATTTATGTGCCAATTTTTTTATGTTTTGGTGTGGACAGTGACTGGCACCATCAAAAAAGATATAAAATCGGACAATTATAGACGTTTATAATCAAAAATCTAAATATAAGATGTACTATTAATGAAAAACTTACCTACAATAGGTTCTCAACCTACAACTATTATAATACATTTACCTTAAATAGGGGTTGCTTATCAGTAACCATTGCTAACCGCACGGAGGCACTACTGATACTCCCGCCAATTGAATATTTTAGGTTAGGAAACTCCGTCACGTGATATAACAGATATAAGGCTAAATATGGGTAGGATATTAGAATATTAATTTTTCGCATAGTCGTGTTAGTAATTCACGATTATGAAGAAGATGCCAATGATAGTATAGGTGCCAACGACTGTCTGATTTACCCTTCCACCTGACAGTCAGTGTGGATTCAGTGTTCTCAGGAGTACTTCTACGTCTTTTGCAACTTTAACTACTATACATACTAACTGCATATTATGAAGGCATGTCCAGCGTTTTCGTGTTACTTGACTTTTCAAAAGTATGTGCTACTATAAATCACTAGATTCTTCGGATTCAATGAATTCAATGAATCCTCGTTATTTCTGATATGGAACTATGAGAATATCACAAAAGACATCTGAAAGGATCCTATTCAGCACCAATTGATATCTTATCCGGCGTTCCGCAAGGCTCTATGCTTGGTCCACTATTTTTTATTAATGTACTGCGGATATCTTGGATAGTCAAAAATTGCAAAATCCAGGCATATGCTGATAATACTCAACTTTGCAGGAGTTTTCAAGCTGTTGATGCTTTATGAATCTGGAGCTAAGGTCATTATGAGACCTATGTGTGAGCATAATTCAAGTCTGAATTGTGACATGTGCAAGCTATTATATTTTAGCAATAAAAACATTATATATAATATGTTAAGAGATACCTTAACGTTCAGCATTAACGACCAGACGTTGCAGGTATGTGACTCCTCTCGTAATTTGGGATTAGTTATAGACATAAACTTTCGTTTTAGTCACCATATCAAAAGTCTAATCGGTAAATTATTTGTGGTCCTAAAATTAATTTACAGTAAAATCATCTTGGGAGAAATCTAAATAAGACCTTATGTGAATCACTGGTACGAGATCACTTCAACTACTGCGACTTCATTTATGGACCCTGTCTGGTACAGGCAGATAAATCTCGTATTCAAAAGGTTCAAAGCAGTTGTTGTAGGTTAATTTATGGGATCAGGAAGTACGACCAATATGGAGAATAAACGTAGGCTGCGCCTATGCACCTTCAACACTCACAAACTCTTGAGCAGAGCTGATCCTCCAAATCTTGCAAAGAAGCTTATACCTCGCTCTACAATCTATCCCAGAAACATCAGATACAATTTTACAATTCCTCAACACAGGACGGTGATATTCAGTTTATTTATATCATATTAGTAAGTTCAAATATAAACTTAAGCTCCTTTCTTTTGATTCCCAATAGAGCTGGAATTTTGCTATGCCACCTGATTTCGGAGCTGAACGCTAGCAAAAGTCATACATTCCTGCATTCAAATATTATATATATATATATATATATATATATATATATATATATATATATATAATCCTCTTTACTTATATGCTTTCTATTTGAACTTACCTGTAATAATATCTGAATGATGATTTTTATATTTATGCCTTACATATGACGATTCTGCGATGCCTTTTGTATATTTTAGCTCAATTGTATTTTTTTGATGATGTTATCATCCTCATGGACATTCTTTTTCCCTTTAAAGTCGGTTATTATTTTTATCATTATTATTATTATGTACCTACGGACATGCTCATTTCTGCATCTGAAGATTTCTTTCATGAATAGCCCAAATAGTGCACAAATGGTTCTCACAAAACCTACGTCTTTTAGATCGCATTGCTCTACATGCTATATTGTGCTAGAAGTTGTTTCTGAGGGGTGGGTTAATCTACTTGACACCATTTCTTTTTCTCTAATTATTTCTTAGATAAGAATATGATTCAGATTCTACACTACAACAGTTTACTGATTATCTTTCTCTCTCTCTCTCTCAAACCCATACACACACATTCTCTTCCTCTATCAAACAATACAAGAATCAATGGTCTCCCTCTCAGACCCATCAATAACACCGAGGTCAAAAGGTCACATATTCACACAAAAGCGTCAAAATCGTCAGAAAACCACTTTATACCCTTAACACCTTTACAACTATTATTAATTTCGATCGGGTACAAAAAATCCAGGTAGGCTTTGACGTGTTTATCCTTCTGTCAATAGGGATGAATAGATCTATCGGAAACTATTATGATCCAAGGCAACCTGTTCCACCTTGTATTGGGGTTGTTCATTTCAGGACCGAATGAATATTTTGCGAATAGGATGAGGGGTTGGGTGTCTAACACGCGATAGAAAATCAATGAGGTATGACAAACGTAAACATTGGGGTTGATATTTAGTAAATTCAGGTAAAAAGGAATGTCAAGTGGCTTTGTTGGTGACATTTATTGGGCCAGAAATTTGAACAGTATTTGAAATAATCCATCAGGGATAGTAGGTGGTAGACTGTCCCTGACTATCGAACGTGGAGGTACCACCCGGCGGATCTCGTAGCCGGAACCAGAATGTGTGCATGCTACATGCACACGTGTTCCCTCGCTAGAGTCCGTGTGGCGCTCTCCTTTCCCCTATATCTCCCTAAAGCCCCACGGTACCCCATGGGTGTTTAGGCCTTAGGCCTTCGAGGCAGTTGGAGCATAAAAAAGTGTCATGAGGAGATTGTTAATGCTATTGTAGGACTGCCCTGTCCTTTGGTGAAGTTTCATACATCCATGATCCTGACCGAACAGAATTTCAGTTCTTTTAATTCAAAGATCACGGGTCACCAAGAAAGACTATCATGGAATCGAGTTTGGTTAATGGAAATAAAGCACTTGTTAAGAACACTTACTGTTTAATTGTTTGGTCAATATCCATGTTTCTATAACATTCAAATTACTACATTGGAGCCTGAAGACTGATTGATACCTGTCCATTAAATATCTTTTGAATTGACTTATAGCCATTGCGTGTAGGATACGTTTTGATTAACAGTAATTATACGTATATAGAGAATATTGTTTTACGATTTTTGAATGATGGTTGCATAAGATAAATGCATCATGACTTGTCAGAGTTCAGTAAAACTGAGTAATCACAAGGATCTCATCAAAACAAATATTTTTACTGTTTCGAGGACTTGAAGTTGAATAATTTTAACTGGAAAAAATAGGTTAAAATAATAAAAACGAATGGACAATTTTTTGACACTTTCTTAACGCCATATGAACTATTCCTTACAAGGGCGGACTTAGAAGGAAACACCCTAGACGCCTAAGCCGGCCAATTTTACCAAGAAAATAGTATAAGTTGCTGTATCATAGTTCCCAATTACCTTGCTAGCCCTGAATCGTGAGACGTGCGTCCGACCCCCCCCCCCCTCCAAGGTGTATTCTACCCCCCGCTCTTCAATTCTCACAAGCTCGCCAATTCTTAATCGATATTTTTTCCCGCAATACTTTTTTTTAGGACTGCACTATACATATTTGAACTTCTTCTTATACTTATTCATTTGTTATTTATGTTTGATGGAATCAGTAGAACAGATTCTTGGGAAGTAAGCCAACTAAATTTTGAACCCTACTAGCTTAACAAAGCGGAAGTACTTAACCTTCCTATACCCCCGCAAATTTTTGTAACACCTATACCCGCGCGCGGTGTCACAGACCGAATGTTTGAAATCCTGTTTTATATCTTCATACATCAAAACCTGTATAAATAAAAGCAACACAAGCTTCTCGCACAAACGCACTGTGTACGTACACTCAAGCGAAGAGTCAGCAACAAATCAGGTAGCTAGCAGAAATCTCGATTCGCTAACGTGCCCAGGAAAATAATGATACTTGAGTGATTTGTCGGTCTCAGAGACCAATGCGCGGGTATAGGAAGGTTAACCCTTTCCGGCTTATTGGTCTTCTGGGATGACCACTAATTCATAGTAAATTTACTTGGCTCTTAGAGGTGCTCTGACCTCACCACATAGCTCAGCTGATTGGATCACGCAACTTATGGAAAAGTTCATCTTGCGATGTTGGACTTTGTATCAAGCACAATAACGTTTGTTTTGCTGGAACCCATCAAATAATTGAACGTTGGAGCTGCTCACCCATTCTAAGCTATCAAAGTTATCATAATTTCTATCTT